TCAATGGAAGTGTAACTGATGTGATTCAGCAATCTGTATACGGGGTAAAAATGGGAGTTCATAACCCACTTGAATCAAACTGTGAAATATGATATATCAAGAACTATGTAATGTTTTGAACGACCAACAATAAAAGAAAAAAATCTCTTTAGAATAAACAAATTATAAAATCAAAATAAATAAATAAAAAGGACTGGAGATGTAGCTTAGTGGTAGAGAAACCCTGGATTGAAGGGGGGAAAAAATCTCATAAAAATCTTTTAAGTATATATTTAAACTTCATGGGGATGTAGTCATTTTGGTGCTGTCCTTTTAAAATGATCTTCATTTAATGGTAAAATCATTTTATTCAGGGAGGCACAGAGTATAAAAAAATATTTTCATTTGTGTTACTAGTGGCGACCACTGAAGGCATTTAAAATTTGGTCTACTGAATTAGTTTTGTAAATAATAGCTGTTTCATCGTATATTTGTTAGTATTAGTCTAGATTCATGCTTTCAATCACAGTGCTGTAAAAAAGACATGTTCTGTTTTCTTGAGGTTATCGTGCTTTTACTGAAGCCAGTGATGGCAGTCTGTGCCTTGCTATGGAGTATGGAGGTGAAAAGTCTCTAAATGATTTAATAGAGGAGCGAAATAAAGACAGCCAGGATGCCTTTCCAGCAGCTGTAATTTTAAAAGTTGCTTTGAACATGGCAAGAGGGCTAAAGGTAACTATACTGTTGTATTTTAAATAACTTTTGTGGACTATGAAAATACTAAATACTTGTTATACATAATTACATTTTTTTTTTTTCAAGGGGGGGGTTTATTCTTTAGTTTTTTTTGGGTTTTCTTTTTGCGGATTGCCCTTTTTTTTTTATTTTGATTAGGAAAGTATTGTTTAGGGCCCCCACATATGCCTGAAATAATCTAAGACCAGGTAGTTTTGCAATATCGAATACATGTTAGACTTAGTTAACACAAATTTAGTAATTATTCCTGGGGGCATAGCCTAAACCCCTGTTGATATAAGCAAACCCCCGATATAAGCAAACCCCCTATGGATTACTTTGTGTGATGTTAAATTTTGGGTATACACATATAGGTTCAATGAAGAAAACTCAGTGTTATGCAAAGAAATTATTGTAATTTTGGATAAATCATTTCCACAGAAGTAACATTGGCTCCAAAAAACTATTGGGTGACTCAAAATTGGGTCAGGTAATGATGATACTGATGCCAAAGTTGCATGTTAAAAGTTCAAATGAAATTGATAAATAGATTAGGAAAAAAAAGCAATGTTTCTAAATATTCTAATACCTTTACAAAAAACCTAATTTCAAATAGAATAAATTTAAAAATCTGAATTGTTTAGTAATATTTTTGATGTGTATGAATAATGAAATTAATAGTGTAAATATACTTGGGCCTATTCACTCTGATGGATTGCATTTAAATTAAGTATGTAAACATACCTGTGTAAACAGCAGATCTACACCAAGAACAGTTGTGGGACACCACCCATGAATTAATTATTTGAGTTTATTTGAGGTCTTCACTCGGCCTTTAGCCATTAGGTTTTACTTTGCAAACTATTTTTGTGGCTCCTCCCACTCAATGGATTGCACAATGGACATGACCTATTTTCCTCCACTAGGGAAACTGCACAGCCCACCTCCTACCTTATTTGGCAAAGAACATCCCATAGAAAACCTATGATGCTTCCCCCTGTATAAATAAAGCACATATGGGCTCTCTCACTCTTTCCAGTGTGGAAGCTTGATCTCTAGGATGGGAGAGCCACCTGCTACCCCACCTTTCTAAAATTACTTCCTGTGTCCTGTGGTTTCTTTGCTGTTTCTTAGCTTTATTTCGCATCCAGCTGATTACACACAGAAGAAACCCAAATTCCACCACCCCTGTGGGATGTGGGCAAGAAACGGTCTCATTTCTAAGCTGGGCTCATAGAGAAATGTTCAAATACTGACGAATGAACAAATAACCATTTTGCAGGTCATTTTACAATGTATTATTATTGTCAAGTACAATTTGAGGAAGATTCCAAAATTATTTCCAAAATACTAGCCTCAAGTAAAATTGAAGTTGGAAAACTGCAGTAGCACCTTCTGATATGTAAATACATGGGATGGGTTTGAAAATACAAAGAAGTTAACATATACTTAGACATCTATCTTTAAGAAATCTTTCAGATTTATCTGAGAGATTTTCCCTTCTCTGGCTTCAAATAATTTGAAATTATGGTTGAATAAGTTTATAGTTTAGGAAGGGAGTTCAAGTCACTGAACTTCAGTTTTATTTATTTTTATTTTTTTTAAATTTTTTTAGAAAGAGGAGAGGGAGGGGGGGGAGAGAGAATTTTGTTTAATATTTATTTTTCAGTTCTCAGCAGACACAACATCTTTGTATGTGGTGCTGAGGATCGAACCCGGGCCGCACACATGCCAGGCGAGCATGCTACCGCTTGAGCCACATCCCCAGCCTCTTCAGTTTTATTTGAAGGTTTCTTTTTAAAATTTGTTTTCTTGTGGTGCTGAGGATTTAACCCATGACCTTGTGAATGCTAGGCAAGTGTTCTACCACTGAGCTACATCTCCAGTCCTGAAGGTTACATATGTGGATTAAGTTGTACTTCTGCTCATGGGTATTGATTTTTTACAATTTTAGTATTTACACCAAGAAAAGAAACTGCTTCATGGAGATATAAAGTCTTCAAATGTTGTAATTAAAGGTGATTTTGAAACAATTAAAATCTGTGATGTAGGAGTCTCTCTACCATTGGATGAAAATATGACTGGTAAGTAATACTGTTTTAAATTTGTTTTTATATAACTTTTAAATTCCTGATTTTTATATGTAAAAATACATAGTAAATTCACATGCTTCAAAGATTTAAAACAAATTTTGAAAAATATATAATGAAAAGTATCCCTACTTTTCTATCTCACTTTGACTTAGGGCCCTCCTTTGCCACATATGTTATTAGCTTTATTATTAGCTTATGTTTTAAGTGAAGATAGGTTTGGGAAAGATTTCTAATATGGATTGAGATTTTTAAGATATAAAACATCTTAGAATGGAAAATAAAATTTTTTAACAAGATTTTTGAAAGGGACTCACTTAGTTTCAATAATGTGATGAAATTTGGGAAACTGCTCGAAGAAACTGGATTGGAACTAGGAAAGAGGAATGTTAGTAAAAATCAGTCTCTGCTTTTTGCTTTTTGGCCCAGCCCAACCCATTCTTCCCTCTGCATTATAAATACTGATCATTCTCAGAAATTTAAGATGTCTTGGTGAGAACCAAGAGCCAGCCTTATATATAGAATATAAGTTAAAAGGATGGCCCATGACTGCTTTTATGGGTCATATATAAACCTTAATTTTTAGCAGAAATAAAAGTTTGCAGGCGGGAGTGGGTAGGAATGATGGTGGAATGAGATGAACATCATTACCCTAGGTACATGTATAACTGCACATGTGGTACAATTCTACATTGTGTACAACCAGTGAAATGAGAAAAGTTATGCTCCATTTGTGTACAATGAATCAAAATGCATCTGCTATCATGTATAAGTAATTAGAATAAAACAAGTTTACAAACTGAATTGAGGGCAAAAGCCAGAATAAATAGTGACTATAATGATATCTATAATTAATAAAAATAGAATTGTCCTGTATCCTTATGCTAAATAACTACAACAAGGTCAAAACTTTGGGAAAAAAAGAAATTCTTGAAAGATAATACAAATGAGATTTTTTAAATGTCATTTTCTCAAAACTTAATAATCAAGTAGACAAAACTAAGTAAGGAATCTGAATAATATGATTAAACTCTTTGTATTAGTATATTTATTAAAAATGCCAGATGGCGCACACCTATAATCCTAGCAATGCCTCTAATCCCAGCAATTCAGGAGAATGAGGCAAGTTCTAGGGCAGCCTCGGCAACTTGGTGAGACACTGTCTCAACACTTAGTAAGGGTTGGGGGTGGAGCTCAGTGAAAGAGCACCCACACCTAGGTTCAGTCCTTATTACAGGGGTAGGGGGAAATTAATATTAAAATTGGCCATGTATTATTAGGTCACAAAAGAAAACTTCAGATTATAAAAGTAGTGTAGTAGTTGGCATGTGTTGATGTCAGTGCTGTAAATCTAGAAATATGTAGCAAAATTGGAAATAAAAACTAATTTTTTTAAATAAATTTAAAACACTTGTATATAATTTTTGGTTGGCCGAAAGGAAAAATCAAATTCCAGTTAGAAAATATTCAAAAAATACAAATTTACAACAAATCAAAACCTAGTTAATATAGTTAAAACTATTGAAAGGGAAACTTTTTCATTATTATGAAATTGAGTTATACTTAAAAAAATGAAACCCTAGGGCGGGGCTATAGCTCAGTGGTAGAGAGCTTGCCTCGCATGTGTGAGGCACTGGGTTCTATCCTCAGCACCACATTAAAAAAAGATATTGTGTCCATCTACAACTAAAAAAATATTTTTAAAAAATGAAACCCTAAGAGGGGCTGGGTTGTGGCTCAGTGGTAGAGTACTTGCCTCGAAAGTGTGAGGCACTGGGTTCCATCTCGGTGCCACATAAAAATAAACAAAAAAATGAAACCCTAAGAAAAGCAGAAAACAGGAATGAATAGAAAATTTATAAATTCTACAAAATTAATTTAGAAACCACTCAATTCCAAAAACCCAAATGCCGAATGTTTTCTCTTATATAAGGAGGCTGATTCATAGTTGGGAGGGGGAACATGGGAGAAATAGATGAACCCTAGATAGGGCAGAGGGGTGGGAAGGGAAGGGAAGGGGGTTAGAAATGATGGTGGAATGTGATGGACATCATTATCCAAAGTACATTTATGAAGACATGAATTGGTGTGAATATACTATGTATACAACCAGAGACATGAAAAATTTTGCTCTATATGTGTAATATGAATTGTAATGCATTCTGTCATATATAAATAAAAATTTAGAAACCACTAAGATGTATTTGGAAATTTAACAACAAAAATTTAACCTATGGGCCAAAGAAAACAATAAGGGAAATTGGAGAGTATTTTGAATTAAATAATAAGGAAATACAACATTAAAATATGTGAGGCAAAAGCTAAAGCAGGGCCTAGAGGGAAATCTGTAGTTATTAGTGACTATAGTTTAAAAAAAAAAAAAAAAAAAAGTTCTAAATGAATCACCTGTATTCACTTGCAAGCTAGAAAAGAGCAAGACAGATCCAAAGGAGACCAGAGAAAGGGAATAAGAAATATATGAACAGAAATCAGAAGAAAAAATAAGCACTAGAAAATATTAGTAAAGCCTAAAGCTGGTTCATAGAAAAGATAATAAAAGTTATAAGTCCCTATAGACTGATCAGGAAAAAAAGAGAAAACAATGTCAGGAATGCAAAAGAAATACAGCTATAGATTCTACACATATATAAAGAATAAGACAGTTTATACCACTAAATTGGATAACTTAAAATGAAAAGGACAATTACCTTAAAAATATAATTACAAGGGGCTGGGGATGTGGCTCAAGTGGTAGCACGCTCACCTGGCATGTGTGTGGCCCGAGTTGGATCCTCAGCACCACATACAAACAAAGATGTTGTGTCTGCCGAAAACTAAAAAATAAATATTAAAAAAATTCTGTCTCTCAAAAAAAAATATAATTACAAAAATTGATATAGGAAGAAAATAGAGAATCTAAATAGCCTTACATCTATTAAAGAAACATTCCCACAAGGAAAACTCAAGCGCTAAATGTTTCTACTGTTGATTTCTTTTGAACATTAGAGATTCAGTCTATTCCCAGGCAGAATTATAGATGAAATTGATGAATTGACTCTGAAATTTAAACAGAAATGTGAGTGGACCTGTGTCATTCCTAAGCAGAGCCAGTGTATGATTTGACCCTTTCCCTATTTTCTGACTTAGCAATCATGAAAGCATTGAAATGAAATTTCATCCTCCGTTCTATGACAGCAAGTTCACAAAACAAAGAACCTGAGGCCCATTAGGTATCTGCCCAAGGCTGACAGCTTGCATGTATTTGAATTCTGATGAGGCAGTCTTGCTCTAGAGTATGAAATCTTGTTATCCACAATCTATTTATATTCCTACCATTTTCTAAGAGAATTGTTTCCCTATGTCTTGACAAGTAATCGCTTTTTGAAATTTAACATTCTGATACAGGGAAAGTACCTTATCAATGAAGTTGAATGTGTTTTCATGTCTGTTGGATATGATTAGCCTGTGAACCATTTGCCCATTTTTATTGTGTAGCTTTTCTTCTTAGGATTTCTAATGCCTGCCCTCATAACTTTTATTTGCATTTTGCTTATTTCAGTGACCGATCCTGAGGCCTGTTACATTGGTACTGAGCCGTGGAAGCCCAAGGAAGCTTTGGAGGAAAATGGCATTATTACTGATAAGGCAGACATATTTGCATATGGCCTTACTCTGTGGGAAATGATGACTTTATCTATTCCACACTTTAATTTTGATGATGATGATGATGATGAAGGTACAGTTTTATTATTATTGTGTTGTTTTCAGTTCTAGGAATCCAACCTAAGGCCTTGCACATGCTAGGTAAATGCTCTACCACTGAACTATACCCCCAGACCAGTGGTATGAATAGAACATAAATCAATGTCTTTGCTTCACATTGAAGATTAGCTTATACATTTATATAATTACATTAAGATGTTTGACTTAGGAGATAGTTTGTAACGTACATAGTACATTAATACTAGTGATTAATTTGGTTATGTTTAATGTCACATAATTGAGATTTAAAATGATTGATCGAAAATAGGGAAATAAATTTAGGTCTAGGAAGGGCAAAATGGCTCATACCTATAATCCCCAGCAGCTCTGGAGTCTGAGACTGGAGGATTGTAAGTTCAAAGCCAGCCTCATCAATGTCTCTAAATAAAACACAAAATAGGACTCACTCAGAGGTTGAGAGCCCCTGAGTTAAATCTAGAGGAACAAAGTTACCTTAAAAACTCCCCTTGCTTGAGAAGAAAATTTGTCATAGGAGGAGTATGGGTTGGTAGCCTAAAAATCTAAGACAATAGTAATCTACTCAATGGCATGTTGACTGAAGAGATTGCCTGTGGTATAATGGAAACTATATTGGATGGTAAGTTCTTACTTCAAGAAGGTAAGCTATTAAGCTTTTCCATGACCTCAAATGGTTTAGCTTATTTCAATCTCTAATTCCTTTGTGAGCAGATAAAACTTTTGATGAAGATGACTTCAATGATGAGGCATATTATGCAGCTTTGGGAACCCGGCCACCTATTAATATGGAAGAACTGGATGAATCCTACCAGAAAGTAATTGAACTCTTCTCTGTATGCACTAATGAAGATCCTAAAGATCGTCCCTCTGCTGCACACATTGTTGAAGCTTTAGAACTAGATGGCCAGTGATCACGTTCATCACCACCTCACCATGTATGGTTTGTGAAACTGTTCTGTTTATTTGATACATTTATATAGTTACTATGATGATCTACAGTTACTAGTCTCTGAAAGAGGCCTATTGTAGGACCATAGTATTGTTAACATTTGAATTACTTCTTAAGGCTATATTTTATATTTGCATGATAAGCACTCAGTATTATACTGGATTTTTCTGTGAAGTTTAAAAAACTAGCTCTGCAGGCCCTTAGATGTTGCTCATACAGAGTTAAAACACTAACTATAAATGTTGTAAACTATCTAATATTAATTTGAATTGAATGACCATAACTTTTACTAATGATCGTTCTTACATATTTTCTTTTTATGGATCTATTAAAATTAGCACTTTATACAGTGCAAAAGCCTGCATTTGCTTCTGTTTTGGCTGATGTACTTATAAATGGTCACTAGAACTTGAAGAAAAAAATGACTCAATAGAATAGCTCCTTGGGTAGTTAGATTCTTTGGCTTGTATTTTCTGTACTGATCCCTTTTTTAGTTTTTATTTATTAATCTATACTGCATTTCAAGGTTTGTAAAAATAATAGAACTCAAGTAAGACAGTACAAAATAAAAGATAATTTTCATACTGAATAGTCTCAGCATTATCTTACTTTGTACTCTAATTGATTTGAGTGTTGTTGTTAAACTTCTTGAGTGAATGCAAGTATATTACTTTCCCTTTCTTGACCTTATTTTGTTAATCTGTAAAACAAAGTTGATTTGTATCAGTAGTTTCTATCTGCCACAGCCTTGAAATTTTCAAAATTACTGAATTGTAATTGTGAATCTGGTTGTTGTACTCACACTTGGCTATAATGTTAAAAATTAAAGTGCCAAGAAAGCAGATTGAAAAGTTAATTAAGAAATCTAATGTATAATATTGTATCCTGACACTCAATAGTGTTACCATCCTCATTCTGACTTGTATATTGTGTCTTTGCTATATTAACAAAGTGCCCATTCTCAATAGGAGGATTAGCAGTTCCTGTTTATAAGCCATAAAGCATCAAGTGGATTAAAAAGAAAAAACAAACTGATACTTTTCATTGAAAAGTTCCAGTTCCTATAGTTGGAACAAAATAATCCAGCATGCTTCCCCCCCACCCCCACCTTTAGTCTGGGTAAGTCAACACAGGATTATAGCAATTTGCTACCAACTTCAAGAAAATGGTTTTTATTCTTATTCTAGAACTATGTCTCAGATGTAAACTTATTTTGTTTATGTGCCCTCATTTTCAAGAGCAACCTGTGACTGGGTTGACACAGCAGGACTTTTTGCTGAATAACTTAGCAAATTAAAACAGGTGGCTTTCTCACCTCCTAGAGAACCTTTGCCTTTACTACCAGTATAAGGCCTCTGGAAGTCTGTTTGCATCTGTAAAATGGAGATAATTAGCAGCTGCCTAGAAAATGTTAATTTTTCTTTCATGTCTCCTGGTTCTATTTGTTTATCAGAATAAAAATAACAAAGGATCTTTAATTGAAAATACTATATGTAAAAACTTAGGTTCAGGAAAAAAAAGTGCTTATAGCTTTAAATGCTATATTAAAAAGGCTAGAAATTCAGTGAGCCAAGTACATAGGATAAACAAAACAGCCTCCTATTTTAGATTGCTGTAACAAACTATCATAAGCTAGGTGGCTTACAAACAAACTTCTTGGACTTTGGATAGAGCTCACTAGTACAGCTCAATTATTTAGTGTGCTTGAGACCCTGGGTTAGGTTCCTGATACTGCAAAACAAATTTCAATTCTGGAAACTGGAAAGTCCCAACATCAAGGTGGTGTCTTAGTGAGGATCCATTTCCTCATAGATGGCACCTCTGGTCCTCAAATAGCAGAAATGGGCAAGGCAACTCCCTAAAGCTTCCTTTGTAAAGGCACTAATCCCACTCAGGTCTTCATCCTCATGAGCTAATCACACCCCTGCCAAGCCCCACATCTTAATATCTATCACCTTGGGGATTACAATTTCAACATGTGAATTTTCAGAGGGCACATTCAGCATCTACTATCTCCTTCCCATTAGGAAAAGAGATTAACCAAAATGTATAAAACAATCTATCATACGTAGAAAACTTAAAACAAGCCTAACAGAAGCAATACCAAGTTGAGTGTTTAAAAATACTAATAAAATTGATAACCTATAGCAAGACTTAACTAGAAAGGAAAAAAAACACATATAATGAATGAGAAAAAGGAAACTGCAGAGCCTACAGATTCTCATTCACGAACACATGAAAATCCTAAACAAAACACTAGTGAAATCAAGCATCAAAAACATCAAGATCAAAATTTCTAAAAATTTTTTAAAAATTTCTTTCTTGTAAGGGTATCCATATCTACAAAGATGCTATTGTAAACATATTTAATAGAAGTTTTGAAAGATTTTCCTGTGAGATGAAACAAAGATACCCACTACCATCTCTCACGAAACCCTGTAATGGACTAGAGATTTTAGACAATATTTTAAGAACAAGGAAGATTCTAAAAGAAGAAATAATTAATTCATAGATGGTGAGTTGTATACACAAATAATTAGATTTTGAAGATTACAAAGTCAATGTAGAGAAGTCAGTCATATCAGCAAGTATGAAACTTTAAAAATATACTATTAAAAATATCAAATCTAAGTGATGTATGACAAAACTATAAATGATTTGAAACTAAATATTAGAAGTTTTTGCAGGCAAGAGTAAAAAAATTCACCTTTTTTGGGGACAAGTTTAATATGAAAATGTACATGCTGGATGTGGGGGAACACACTTGTAATCCCAGTTACTTGGAAGGCTATGGCAGGAGAACCTATGAGGCCAGCCAGGGCAACAAAGCCTTGTCTCAGGATTGGCTTGTGTAAATAATTTCACAAGCTGTGATTTAGGGACTGTCCCTAGTTGTTTGATACTGGGCCCTGAGGTGATTAAGTCAGGTAGTTAATGGTCCTGAATTTGACCGGCCAATGATAAAGTTGGTTGGTAGAATGGGCTCTGGATTAGCTGGCCAGCACTGAGAGTAAAGAATTGTTTATCTCTAGTAATTTGCTAATCCTGGGTGGGAAAATCTTACTGAGTAAGGCCCTGAACACAGGGGAAAAAGAAAGACAGTTAATATAAACAACCTCATCATCTTGGGGGAAGATTTCTTAAGAAAGCATCAATCGTCAAGGAAAAAAAAAACAAAAACACTGATACATTGAATGACACTAAAGAATTTCAAGATTAGTAACAGAAAATTAAAAATATAGCTGTGCATTGTGGCACATGACTATAACCCCAGCAACTCAGGAGAATGAGGCAGAAGCATCAGAAGTTTGAGGCCAGCCTCAGCAATTTAGCAAAACTCTGTCTCAATATAAATTTTAAATAAATTAATTAAAAAGGAATGGAGATGCAGTTCAGTGATAAGTGCCCCTGAGATCAACCTCTAATACCAAAAAAAAGCCACAAAATAGAAGAAAATATTTCCAACCCATCAAACTGACAATATATATCTTGAATATGTAAACAACTAAACATCAATAAGTTAAAGACATAAAAGAGATAAAAGGGCTTGAATAGTCACAACCTAAAATTGCACATCAACAATATGGAAAAATTTTATGTTCTCATGATGAAATATATGACACTAAAAATGAATTATAGCTACATGCCACAATGTGGATGCATCAATTTATAGAAAATTCAAAATATACAAAAAGTGTCATGTGAAAAGCTAACTGCAATTTGAGGAAACTAAAGAATTAAGAGCATAAAAAAATGACTTCTAAGATGCTGGCAATTTTTTTTTTTTTAAAGAGAGTGAGAGGAGAGAGAGAGAGAGAGAATTTTTAATATTTATTTTTTAGTTGGCGGACACAACATCTTTGTTGGTATGTGGTGCTGAGGATCGAACCCGGGCCGCACGCATGCCAGGCGAGCGCTCTACAGCTTGAGCCACATCCCCAGCCCCCAACTGGCAATGTTTTTTATTTTTTAACCTGGGGAATTGAAGGTATTTGCTTTGTAAGAAACTCACTGTTGAGTTGTAAATTTCAAAATAAATTTTAAAAAATACTCTGATTTGCAGAAAAGTTGCAAAAAAGAGTTCCCACATGCCTCATACCACACTTCGCATAATAACATTTTACATCACTACGGTATTTTTGCAATAATCAATGAATCAGTACTAAAATCCACATTGTTACTAAGATTTATTTATTTTCACTTATTGAACTTTTTCCATTTCAGCATCCCATTTGGGATATCCCATTACATTTAGGAGTCATGACCCCCTGGCTATGATAGTTTCTCAGACTGTTCTTAATCACTTTGACAGTTTTAAGGCACACTGGTCAGGTATTCTATAGCATACCTCATCTTGTACATTCTAGGCTCATCTCGTACATTCGTTGCCCCAACTCTAGAATGAACCATTTCTCCAAGGACCTCTTGTTCTTCTTTATAGAGAAACCAAGATCTGGATGCTAGAAGTGCTCACTGCTGTTGGGGTCTCATTGCTATGAGGCCCTTTCAGTGTACTTTGTACTTGCTTCTCCTATTAATACTTTAAAAATATTTTTTAAAAAACTACAAAACCAGCAAAAATTATCAACAGAAAATTATGACATGCATTAAAAGTAGAAATGAATCCTTGAAATACAAGTCTAAGACATACCCAAGTGAATGGAGTTGCAAAAGAACTGTGTATGTATTTAATTAACCTGAAGTAATATTTTTACTTATACCCAAAGAATTATAGAGAAGCTGCTTTTTAGGGTTATATCTATTTCCATATCATCTAATCATTTTTTTCCCAAAGAGCATCTACTGTTCTTATACTAATAAACAATTTATCAAAGCATTCAATTGAATGATAGAACAAATGGAATGTTAAGAATTTTAATCAGATTCATCACACAAGCAGCAGGGCTGGGGATATAGCTAAGTTGATAGAGTGCTTGCCTAGCATGTACAAAGCCCTGGGTTCAATCCCCAGCACCAGCAAAAGGAAGGGGGGTAAAAAAAGCATTGAGCAAATAAAATAATGTTAATAAAAATTTTTAAATAAAATATTAATTTAAAAAAAATCAGCAGTGCAGAAAATAGCATTAAAATGTTTTTGTAATTACACACATTTTAACACTTTCACATTCCTTTTGGAACCCAGGTTTTAGAATTTGAACCATGTTAACTTACAGGCAAATAAAAATTATAGATTAACAGGTTTTACACAAATTGGGAAAGTACTTCCTCAAATTCTTATGGTCAGATACCAGTTCAATGATTTTTAAGAATCAAAACAATCTGAATAGTTTTTTGCTTTTCACTTATGTATTCAAGAATAATACTACAAAAATGTGTGCACATGCTGGGTAGTGGCACACACCTGCAATCTCCAGCAGCTCTGGAGGTTGAGGCAGGAGGATGGCAAATTCAAAGCCAGCCTCAGCAAAAGTGAGACCCTGTCTCTGAATAAGATACAAAATAGATCTGGGGATGTGGCTCAGTGGTCAGTAACCCCTCCCCCACAAAAAAAAAAAAAAGTGTGTACATTTAAGTGTGTGGTATTTTCATAACATTGACATGTTCTCTGGTCCACCAGCTCAGATATATTTATAAACCTTGATTCTGTTACCACAAATTTTGAAGAGGCTTTTGCCAGATATCTGAGTGAGAACAAGTGAAACAAACAAAAAATAAACAAAAAAAGTGAAACCAAAATAATCATCTAATCCAACTAGGATCCACTATGTTAATAACTTCAATTACCAGAAACAAGTTCCCTAAAGTTAAGTAGCAGTACCCGCATTTTCTTTCTTTTGGTACCAGGGATTGAATCCAGAGGTGCTTAACCAATGAACAACATCCCCAACCTTTTTTTATTTGAGACAGGATCTCACTAAGTTGCTTAGGGACTCACTAAATTGTTGAGCCTGGTCTCGAACTTGCAATCCTCTGGCTCAGCCTCCCGAGCTGCTGAGGTTGTTGGCATTCACCACCGCGCCTGGCAGTATGGCAGTACCTGCATTTTTATTCAACAAAAATTACAATAGTGTAGTCACTAAGTATAATTTTGATTCAGTGTGATGAAAAATGTGCATTTGATTTTCAAAAAGATTAAAACATTAAGATATAGAATTATGTTCTACATAAATGAGTACAGGATATCTTACTCATTCCTTACCATCTTTTCTAACAAGAAATTAAAAATGCTCTATTTAGATGAGTTGCTACAGATAAATGCTTGTAAAGTGAGAATTCTGAGGAGAAGTCAGAAATTCCACCTTTAAAAATTGGGTATGTAAATTACTTGCCTGGATTTAGATTTGCCTCCTTCCTTCTGATGTAGTATGATATAATCCTGGACTAAAAAAGTACTGCTTTATTTTTTATTTTTTTTAAATATTTATTTTTTAGTTCTCGGCGGACACAACATCTTTGTTTGTATGTGGTGCTAAGGATCCAACACGGACCACACGCACGCCAGGCGAGCATGCTACCACTTGAGCCACATCCCCAGCCCCAAGAGTACTGCTTTATAAAAGATAACTGGCCCCACATCTGCAGAAAACCACCAAAATAAGGTGGTCAATATTCTTATGGGGTCCAGTTATAAAGTTTCATAATTAAAAACTCAGAGTGCTAAGTATATTATCCAAAGATTTTTCCTTTCTTTAAATTCCCAGATAATTTTTGCCAAATTTATCCCTGAATTTTCAACACATAAGAAACAAAACTATGGTGTGTGTGTGTGTGTGTGTGTGTGTGTCTGGGCATTTCTTACTTTCATATTAATTTATATTATAAGAAGCTATGTGAATTTATCCATGTAGTAACTGCTTTTATAGTTGGCCTTAACTATTAAAATTGTACACAAGGAAATTAGGGGTGTTGCAGTACTTGGTTGCAAATAACTTGCCATCTGGTGTTGGGTCAGAAAATGCTATTTCATTGGTGCTGAGAAAACAGCCAAACATGAAGCAATTCCTAAAAAAGAGAAAAAGATAATTTAACAATGAAAGCAACTTAGTATTCTGATTAAACACTAGTACAATTTGAGTAAATACTCTTGATCAAATCAACCTTATTTCTGCTAAGCGAGAAAATGCCTTAGATTTCAGAGATGGAAATCGTATTTCAAAGATGAGAAAATAGGTCCAGAAAAAAAATTTTGAGAAGCAAAGGGAACCACATAAAAACAGAGCTGACTTTTGGCTGTCCCTAACAATGAACAACTAATGTGAGATTGCTAGTGCTAATTAAAAGCAACATATAATTAAAATAAAAAATAAAAATAACATCACCAATTTTAACAGTTACTATTCTTCTCAACTAAAATGTACAATAGAGAGCTTTGAGAAAGCAAAAACAAATCTGCATGTTGAGTACAACTCTTTCGGATCCTGCTCAACTAAGATTAAAAGTAAAAATGAGGGCTGGGGATGTGGCTCAAGCGGTAGCGCGCTCGCCTGGTATGAGTGCGACCCGGGTTCGATCCTCAGCACCACATACCAACAAAGATGTTGTGTCCGCCGAGAACTGAAAAATGAATATTAAAAATTAAAAAAAAAAAAGTAAAAATGATTAAAGAGTTCAACCACATTGAGGAATGTTCTATAAAATAACTGGCCTATACTTTACAATTCTTCAATGTCATAAAAGACAAAGGAGGGCTGAGAAACTTCCAGGATTAAGAAAGATGATGATTAAAGAAACATGATAACCAAATGCAATGTGATTCCAGACAAGGAGAGGTATATGCAGCAGTGAAGGACATTTGAAACAACCGATGAAACTGAAACATGGACTATCAACATTACATCTTCTAGCCAGGTACAGGAGTATAAACCTGTAATTCTAGTTATGTGGCAGGCTGAGGCAGGAGGATGGGCAAGTTACTAAGCAAGACATTGTCTAAAAATAAAAAGAGCTGGGAAAGCAGTTCAGTGGCAGAATGCTGATCAAACATGTATCAGGCTCTGGGTTTGATTCCCAGTGCCAAAACCAAACAACCAGATACATTTGGAAAAGCAAATGTGGTAAAATAATAACTTGATGAATCTGAGCAAAGGTATATGAGGGGGACCAGGTGTGGTGGGAGATGCCTATACCAGCAACTCAGGAGGTTGAAGCCAGGGGATTCCAAGTTCTAGACCAGCCTTAGCAATTTAGGGAGACCCTGTCTCAAAGCTAAAAAATTTAAAAAACTAAACAGGGTTGGGTTGGGGTTGGGGGTATAGCTCAATGGTATAGTGTCCCTGGGTTCAATCCTCAGTACCAAAATGAAAAACAAAATTAAAAATATACAAGGGTTCTTTTCACTATTCTTGATACTTTTATTTCAGAATGAAAAAAAATTAAAGAATTAGATTCAATTAGAATATATAAGCATTTAGTACACTAACTATAATTGAACACAAAATTTATTGCTAAACTTCTGGGAGGACTCAAACATATTGTCACCTGTATAGATGAAAGAATTCAGACTGAGGCTTTTTTACATGCAAAACTATCAAATATGTTATTTATACCTTCAATTCAGATATGAGAAAAGATATTTTTCCAAATGAATGTTTTCTAGCTCCTATGAGGGCATTTCATTTTTATTCAGTATTCCTTATAGACAATATTGCCTTGTTACTCAAAGTATGATCTGCAGACCAGCAACATTTAGCATCACCCAAAGGCTTAATAAGAATGCAGAGGGCTAGGGATGTGGCTCAAGCGGTAGCGCGCTGGCTTGGCATGCGTGTGGCCCGGGTTCGATCCTCAGCACCACATACCAACAAAGATGTTGTGTCCACCGAGAACTAAAAAATAAATATTAAAAATTCTCTCTCTCTCTCTCTCTCTCCTTTCTCACTCTCTCTTTAAAAAAAAAAAAGAATGCAGAATCTCAGGCCCCACTCCATACCTACTGAATTATAGTCTGCATTTTAACATTCCCAGGCAATTCATATGGATGTTGAAAGTTAAAAAGCATTAGACTATTGTTCAGTGGAGGCAGGTTTGATTTTGGTATTCCTCGTATCCAATTTATCTATCACTTAAAATACAGGTTGAATATCCCTTTTCTGAAGTGCTTGGGACCAGAAGTAGTTCAGATTTCATGTTTCTGGATTATAGAATATTTGCAGAGATATTGTTGAGCAACCCTAATCCAAAAACCTGAAATCTAAAATGCTCCCAAATCTAAAACTTTTCAAATATTACTTTTTACTTTAAAAAGTTTCTGATTTTAGAGGATTTCAGATTTTAGATTAGGTTTCCTTAACCTGTAAAGGAAAATCATTGGTTTGCAACTATAAAAAATTATTATAGACACCCTATTTTCTAACCGATCCTTCTATAAATATGTGTGGTTCACTAGGATTATGGCCCATGATGGAATCATCATAGTGGTTTGCTTTTCATTCCTTAAAAGTGGCATAGTACTCAGACTAGGCACACTGGCCCACACCTGTAATCCCAGCAATGTGGAAGGCTGAGGCAGGAGGATTGCAAGTTTGAGAAAAGGCTCAACAACTTAGAAAGACCCTGTCTGAAAATAAAAAATAAAAAGGACCTGGGTTCAATCCCTGATACCAAAAATTTAAAAATTTAAATTTAAAAAGCAGCATAAAACTCAAAAGGTTTGAATAGAGCTCTTCAAAGTGTGGTTGTTGGTTTTTAATCTGCTATCTATCCATGAGATATATGTAGAAGAAAATGTTTTGAAATTCATCCTTCTTATCCAGATTAGGTAAATTAACAATAAACCTAGTCTGTCATGTTAAAACCTTAAATATCAATTTGCAGGGTTAAAGGGTTTGCACAATTCAAAATGGAGAATCACTAATTTAATCTTTTATTGAGGTATAATTCATATACCATTAAGTCTCATACTTTAAAAATATATAACTATGAGCCGGGCACAGTGGTGCATGCCTGTAATCCCAGCAGCTTGGGAGACTGAGACAGAAGAATTGAAAGTTCAAAGTTCAAAGCCAGCCTCAGCAACAGTGAGGCACAAGCAATTCAGTGAGACTCTGTTGTTAAATTTAAAAAAATACAGAATAGGGCTGAGGATGTGGCTCAGAAGTTTACTCCCCAGTACAAAAAGACAACTCGGGTTTTCTGTAGTCACAAAATTATTTATCACCACTATATAATTCCAGGTCATTTTTTATCCCCCTATATCCATTGTATACATTCTCTATTCACTCTTCCCTTAGTCCCTATAAACCAAGAATATTTGATGTCTCTTATCGATTTGCCTATTCTGGCCCTTTTGTGTACCTATAATATAACGTTCAGAAAACAATCAACACGATGTTTTCAAGGTTCACCCATATTGTACCATGAACCAGTTACTTCATCCCTTTCCATGGTTGACTAATAAATACTGCATTGTTATTGTATGAGATATGCTTCGTTCCCCACTGATTTCGTTGTTTATACTTATTTGGCTATTATGAATAATGCTGTTATAAACCTTCCCATACATGGTTTTGTGTGGACATATGCTTTCATTTCTCTTGAGCATATACCCAGAAGAATTGCTTGGTCATAATAATTGAACTTTTTGAGAAACTGCCATTGTATTCCACAGCAGCTGTATTACCTTACATTCCTACCAGCAATGCACCAGGGTTCCAACTTCCTCCACATTGTCACCAACACTTATTTTCCTTTTTAAGAGAGCCTTCCTAGAGGGTGTGCAGTGATATTTCAGTGCTTTTGGTTTTGCGACTTCTCAGATGTTAAGTATCTTTTTACATTCTTATCAACTATTCGTATTTCTTTTTTGAAGAAATGTCTGTTGGAATCTTTGACCCATTTTTAAACTGCCTTTTCATTGTTGCATGGTAAGAATTCTTTTTATATGCTGGATAATAGATCCTTAGTAGAAAAAAGAATTGCAGCTTTTTTCCTCTCATTTTTGTAAGTTGTCTTGCTAATTCCCTTTTTAATTATAACTTTAGTTATAGTTATTAATTATAGTTATAAATTAGTTTAATTAATAGTTATTATTACCTAGACACATGTAGTCAATAAACATATGCAACTTCTGTACGTTTTAAAATTTCCATTTTGTTTATATCAACTATATTTATTGAAATATGATTTTGTATCAATTGAATCTAATAAAAATTTGATATTGTATTTTCTTCCTTTATTCAGTCAGTACCAGGGACTGAACCCAAGGCCTATGCATGCTAGGCAAGTACTCTTCAACACTAAACTACACCCCAGCCCATATTTTCTAATTTTGTTTTTCCATTTCATTTGTCTAGCAATCAATTTTTATTTTATTTTATATAGTCTTGGGTCTGTGATATATCAAACAGGTCCTTTATCATAGGTAGTTTAAAAAGCACTAGCCTGGAATGTTGAGTATCTAGTATTTTTTCCCAGGTTACTTGATGTAACCCAACTTTGATAGCATAATGGGAAGTGTTTTGCCAACATCCTTCCTTCTGGTTCATGAGCCAGTATTTCCTAGTTCTAGGAAAGCTAAAAATCCAAGGTTCAAAGTTAAGACTCAATTTATGTTTTTCTTACCTGACAGTATCCACCAGACGTCTTGCAATGCGCTTTCTTCTCTGCAGTCTGAAAACCCAGATTCTACTTATCCCACAGACTGCAGGTTCAGGCACATTTGAACATTGCCAAGCTCTGGGAGATTCTTTAGAGTTTGAGGATTCTGGGCCACTTGGTTCAGACAAGAGACGGAAGGCCTACAATGATATACAAAAGCATCTATAACTAAAAATAGATGAGCTTACATTTCTTTTAAAAAAAAAGAAAGAAAAAGAAAAACCTCCTGCCAGGCATAGTGGTGCATGACTGTCATCCCAGCATCTTAGGAGGCTGAGGCAGGAGGATTGTGAGTTCAAAGCCAGCCTCAGCAAACTTGGTGAGGCACTTAGCAATTCAGTGAGACCATCTCTAAATAAAATATAAAAAATGGCCGAGGATGTGGCTCAGTGGTTAAGCACTCCCGAATTCAATCCTCAGTTCCAAAAACATTTTTATAAAACTAAAATAAAAAAATTCCTAAGTATACCAAAACAAACCTAATGATATGAAGTTAATCATGTCTCCATCAAAAATATTTAAATCATTTGAATGTGTTAAATTCCTCTCCATTTAAGTCACAATACTTGCATGAAAATTCCTTCTTTTTGATTAAAAGCTCTGTAAAATCCAAATTTCTGAAGCACATAAATTTTCCCAATCCTCTCCATGCTAAAATGTATATATGATAGCCTAAAGAATTGAAGATTTTCACGTGCTAACTCTGAAATTTGGTTACTATTTAAATTTTAAAAAAACTTTTCATTTGAAAATAGAGATCCACAAGAAGATGAAACAGCAGTATAAAGAGGACTTATGCATCCTTCACCCTATTTCCCCTAATGGTTACATCTTCCATAACTAAGAAATTAACAGTGATACAATGTGTGTATCTTTTTTAATTGAGTTTAAAAAAAATAAATGACAGAATGCATTATAATTCTTATTACATGTATACAGCACAATTTTTCATATCTCTGGTTGTGTATAAAGTATGTTGACACTAATTCCTGTCTTCATACATGTACTTTGGATGATGATGTGTATCACATTCCACCATCCTTGCTAATCCCAATGTGTGAATTTTTATTCCATTTCAAAGATATTATATTCATTTAACCACCACCACAATCAATACACAGAACTACTGCATCGCCACAACTGTTCCTCTTTGTAACTCTGTAGAATCATTATCTACTTTTCCCTTCCACATGCCTCACTCATTCCTAGCATCCACTAATCTGTTCTCCATCTCTATAACTGTTATTTTGAGAATGCCATGTAAGTGGAATCATACAGCATGTGACCTTTTGAGATTGGCTTTTTTAACTCAGCCTAATACCTTTGAGACCCAACTCATGGTTATACATGTCAATAGTGTACTCTTTTTAATTGCTAAGGAACATTCCATTGTATGGATGTACCACAGGTTGTTTTTTTGTTTTTTTTTAAGAGAGAGAGAATTTTTTAATATTTATTTTTCAGTTTTTTCAAGGACACAACATCTTTATTTTACTTTTATGTGGTGCTGAGGATCGAACCCAGAGCCCTGAGTGTGCCAGGCGAGCACGCTACCACTTGAGCCACATCCCCAGCCTTTGTGACTTCTTTTCTACCTAGTACTAGAAGTTTTAGGCAGAACAGTTAGGCAGAAAAAATAAAGACAACCAAATCAAAAGAAGTTATTTCTGTTTGCAGACAACATGATCTTATATATAGAAAAACCTTAAAGACTTCTCTAAAACACTGATAAAATGAAATTACTACACACAAAATCAACATGCTAAAATCAGTAGCATCTCTTTACAATAAGAATGAACTATTTTAAAAAAAAGAAAACAATCCTATATACAATGATACCAATAAAACTATAATACTTAGGAATAAATTTAAACATGGGAGTAAAAGAACTATACACCAGAAACTACAAAACACTAATGAAAAAAATTAGAGAGGACACACCTAAGTGGAAAGATATCTCATGTTTATGAATTTGAAAATTATTAAAATATCTATATTGATAAAAGCGATCCAGATTCAGTGCAATCCCTATCAAAATTTCCAATAGCATTTTTCACAGAGAAAGCAACCCTAAGATTCACAAGGAACCAAAATGACCCTGAATAGCCAAAGCAATCTTTGAGTAAAAAGGGCAGTGAGAGGTATCATACTACCAGATCTTGATATATACTACTACAAAATTATAGTAATCAAAACAGAATAATATACTGGCATAATAAAAAAAAGGCACTCAGAGCTGGCTGGAATTGTAGCTCAGTGGTAGAGCACTTGCCTAGCCTGTTTGAGGCCCTGGGTTTGATCCTCAGCAACGCACATAAATAAA